AAATCATTATGTTGATTTAAAATGTTCTTTCCGATAATTTGTGATATCTATTAATTTTTACTTTGGCATTTTTTCATGTTTTTCTTCTCTTTTTTTATTTTAAAAAATAAAAGAACAAAAACATATTAAACACATAAGTTTACAAATTAACCCAAGAGCAATACAAGCAATAGTGACATTCAGACAAGGTGACAGGAAATTAACAATGGTTGTTGTATTACATATTGATTTCTTCAAAGTGGTTACTCTGTCTTGTGTTTTTGAATGAATGGTTTCTTTCCAGGGTCTGCAGTATTGGAATACATCAGGTACAGTATGGGAGAAAGGTAGTGAGTGAGTCACTACTAAGAACTGTTGTGTTTCTACACAGGTGTTCGTGAGTGAATGTGGAATCCTGCCCCACCTGTCACCCTGGGCTGCCGGGCATGGTTGACCGCTGGTGTCCAGGGCCGTAGTCACTCCGCCCACACTGTTTCCCTGCCCCTCTGTGTACTAGAAGGCATGGCTTTTTCTGATAAGCTTTTTGCCTGTGGGTTTGTGAGATGCCCGCTGTGTGCACACCCCAGGCTGTGGCAACTGTGCATCTTGATCACATCTCTGAGGTCTGTGTTAGGTGTTGGCAGTGGGGCAGGCAGTTCTTTGGGCATGACACCAACTCTTTCAGACCTAGACCCCTCTGAAAGCCACACACACCCATCCCGGCTTCTCAACTCAGATTAGGACGCTGGTGTTCTTTCCACCCTAAGTTTAACTTCTCAGGGGGTCTGTGTCTAGTCACGCCCTCTCCACAGCTGTCTTTGGTGGCCATTTCCCTCCCAGTCACTGGCTGTTCTGTCGTTCTGTATCTCAGGTACACAGATAACCCCTTCCTAAAATGGCTTCAATTAAACCCTCTCAGACTTAACGGGCACCACACTGGGTTTCTTCTCCAACTCCAGCCTGCCATGCCAGAGGACTCACTTTCCAAGTGAAACCCAACACTGTTTGCAGTTTGCAGTAGCAATGGGCTTTTCTTGGGGCAGTGCTGCTGGCCCAGTCTGTTATTGCCCTGGAGCTGCCGGCCCTGACCAGGCTCCCCTTGGTCAGCAGAGACCAGTCCTTACCCCGGGAGCTGGGGTTAGTGTCCAACTGCCTTATTTTCTTCTCTGTGTTGTGCTCCATTTCTCCAGCTTCTCTGTAGTTTCTAGCTTTCCCGTCAGCTCCTTCCTGATTGTGGACAGAAACAACCATCTCCAGTGGAGACAGCAGGGTAGTGGATTTGGGTCTGTTCGTGAGGCAGCTTTTCCATGACCCCTTTGCTGGTGTTTTATAAAGGTTAGGCTACTTTCTCTAAAAAACCAGCAAGTAACCTAATCTTTATTAAACCTGACGATGATCTGGCATAAATATAGGCCTGATACCTCCCCCTCCTGCTCCTTGTCTCTCTCCTTCTCTTTCTCTTTCTCTAGCATGGGACATTTTAGCAGTACCGACTGTGAACCTTCTTGATACACTAGTTTCGTGTGCTGTAACAGTCTCCATGTGTGTAAAGTCGGTTTCTTTTAGCACTTTAGATATAAACTGTGATCTTCAACTTTAGTAACGCCTCACTCATTGATTGCAAATAAAACAGGTGACTTCTAACCCAGATATATGCATGTAATTAGAAGAGGGTATATTCAAATCCTTTAAACTCCCCTCTCTCTCTCTCTCTCTCTCTCTCTCTCTCTCACACACACACACACACACACACACACACACACACACACACCCCAGAACTCGAACTCAGGACCTTGCACTTGCCAGGTAGGCACTTGTACTGCTGAGCTACATTCCTGGCCCTTACGTTTGTTTTTTGTGGTTTTTTTTGTACCAGGAATCGAATTTAGGGCCTTTTGTCTGCCAGACAGGCACTGTGCTGCTGAGCTATATCCTGGCCCTTAAAAATATTTCATATTTAAGTAATATATACATCTATGTAAGTGTATTTGTAAAAATGTGCATTTGCATATACATAGTGTATTTATGTAAGTACTTTGTAATCTTACATGTTGTTTGAGTATGTGGTGGGGATTATATATATTACACATAACTTTATAATTACATAATACATATTTTTTGCTTTATAATGTTAAACTATTGGCAATGGAAAAGATTAGATTGTCATGAAATATGTTATTTTTAAAAGTTCCCTCCTATACAGCATAAAGCATAAATTTCGGTCTTATTTGAAAATTAAGGCACTAAAAATGTATAATTATAATCTAAATTGATGGTACCCTTTTTATACAGGCAAAAAAATTGGGAAATAAAGCTGTTAAATGTGAGGAACTAAGTGTTTTGTGTAAATCTAAAAAATAGGAGTTTTACACACAGGAACTGAATTCAAATTGACAAAAATTAAATTGTGCTTCACCACAGACATTGTTCAGTTCTAGAGCATAGCATCTCTGTCAATTGAATTTCTAAAATTTCTGGGTTATTAGCTAAACTTTTCAGACATAAGATGATCCAGATTCATTTATTTTAGATCCGAAATCCTTTAAAACAGTAAAATTCAACTTTTTAATCATCTTTCTTAAGTTCGCAAACCTGTATTTGTCTTGTGGGAAGATGAATGCCCACCATGTATAAATATAACAGAAAGGAGTAGGAGAAAAGAAGGAAAGTAATATTAAGAAACCAAGCAGAGCCAGCTGTGGTGGCGCATACCTGCGATCGCAGCACTCTGGGAGGCTCAGGCGGGGGATTGCAAGTCCAAGCCTAGCAAGGACAGCTCAGTGACTTAGCGAGCCCCTGTCTCAAAAATAAAAACAAAAATGAGGCTGGGGATATAGCTCAGCCCAGAAGCCCTAGGTTCAGTCCCTTGTACTGCAAAGAAAAAAAGGAGGAGAGGGGCTGGGGATTTAGCTCAGCGGCACAGCACCTGCCTGGCAAGCGCAAGGTCGTGAGTTCAATTCCCAGTACCAGGAAAAAAAAAAAAAAAGGAAGAGAGAAAGGCAGGTCAAAAGCTGTGTAGTCACTGTGATACTATGAGATGATTAGGTAGATTGATTGATTGATTTTCTTCCACAGCTCCTGGCTCCCAAGCCCTCTCCCAGAAAAAAAAGTTTTCCTCCCCTAGGTAGGCATAGAAACTAAAACTATATTCTCACCTTCCCCTGCCTTTTTGTTTCGGAGCTGGCCGTAAAGGCAGCCCCTGACCTGCCTTCTGTGGCAGTTAGTAATAGGGACGCCTGGGGGAAGGAGGCTGCACACAGAACGACAGCCCTGCCGCGTCAGCACTGGATCGCAGGCTCTGTGTCCAGCCACGTTTCTGAATGGCTGTCTCTGCCCAGTCACTTCTGCAATGAGGTCTCCACACAAACGCAGGAAGGGCAAGGGTCCCAGCAGAGCAGTAGAAACTCAGTCGCCTTCCCCCAAGCCTAGGCCCGTGCATCTCTTCATCTCCACCCTTAGTAGCACTGGGAAACAAGCATGTTCCTGAGCTCTGGGTCACTCACTGATCCCCAGTGAACCCCACTCATTCAGCCCCACTGAACCCGAGGAGGCAGTGGTAGGAACCAGGTGCACAGTCAGGCTGTGACCGGCGTCTAAGTGGGACTAGGGACAGTCGGGGACTGAACCCCTGACCTGTGGGACGGGACACTGTCCAGGTGGACAATGTCAGAATCACATTGAATTCCGGGACGCCCAGCCGGTCTCAGCACGGAGGAGAGCTCCTTGCATCTGGTGCCAGAGGTGACCTTTCGGTGCCATGAGAGCATGTAGGAGAGACTGAGCTGGAGTCATCAGAGTTGAAAGCTAAAAGCAAGACTCAAAAGGCAGAGATGAAAGAAAAGTGTGTGACAGAAACAGTAAAGAGGCTGTTCCTCTGCTCCCAGGGAGTGGGAGTAAAGTTACCGTCAGCTGAGAGCAAGAGTGAGGGACCATATGGCGAGGGGCTGCTGTGACAGGAGCCGCAGGGGCAGAACAGCCAGAATACTCTTAAATGTCAGGAAGGCTGTACTCACTGCGGTGCCACTCCTGCAGGCAGCAGTCCTGGGGCTCAGCCACCTTCCGTCCTGCCTCGAAGGCCACACAGGGAACAAGAGTCGCTCCTAGGCAGGAGCTTTAGGGTATCCATGCTGATGGGTCAGAATGCAGTCACGGGCCATTCCTAACTGCAAGGGAAGCCAACAGAAGACGGGCTGGCTGTGGGCCCACAGAGCAGTCCAGGTTTTACTGACTTTGAACAGTCTCTCTCCAAGTTGTCTTGAAAAGGCACGTACTCCCTGTTAATTAACTGGTAAGAGCCTGGACAGAGGAATGGAAATCAAAACAGGACCTCCTGATTTGATACTTTTTTTTTTTTTTTTTTTTGTCTTTTTGAGACAGGGTCTCGCTATGCAGTTCAGGCTGGCCTTGAGCTCACTTTGTAGCCCAGGCTGGCCTCGAATTCACAACGATCCTCCTGCCTCAGCCTCCCCAGTGCTGGGATTACAGGCGTGCGCCACCATGCCTGGCTCAGATTTGATACTTCTGCAGCTGACAGTTCTCTTTTGTTTCCTCTGCCCATCTTTCTTTTCTCTTTTCTTTCTTTCTTTCTTTCTTTTCTTTTCTTTTCTTTTCTTTTCTTTTCTTTTCTTTTTTCTTTTTCTGTGCTGTGGACGGAGCCTAGGGCCTTGTACACTATAGGCAAGCACTTTACAACCCAGCTTGTGCCCATGCTGTTTTTCTGTATGTTCTGGGTCTAGCATCTCTTTTTCCTATGAAGTAGCATTTCTAAGTGGGGTGTTGGGCAGTGTCTGGAGATATTCTTGCCCCACACTGCCCAGGACAAAGGATTATCTAGGCCAAAGTGTCAACAGTGAAAGGTTGAGAAACCAGGCTTTGACGGATGGAAATTTTTTTTTAATGACAAGTAGAAAGTAAACTAAGATGGCACATAGGAGAGAGAACGTTTTATGGAAGTACCGACATCTTCTAAATATCTAATGAAATAGAAAGTGACAATCTAAAGACAGTTCTTGGTATTTCAGGACAGAGTCCCCACGTCAAGTCAAACCTCCTCGCGGGAAGCCTGCGGAGCCTGTGGCGGGCAGTGACGGGCCCTCTCTTTGATTTCCAAGGAGACCCAGCTCAGCAAGGCGGAACCCTCATTTTGGGTCCAGGTGAGCCTCAGAGCCCAGGTTGAGCCAGACTCAGTAAAGTCCAAAGGTCGCCCCTTCTCCTTGAGAGGTAGATAGCTGTGAAAGCAAGCGGCTTGGCCTAACCGTCAGGGTGACCTACTTTTGTAGGCGCATCTTTGGTTGTCAGAGGCCAGGTAGCCCAGTAGACGTGAGCATTTCTGAATAGGAGGAACGCCTCAGGCACTTACTTTCTGTCAATAGAAGAACCACATAGTTAGGATACCTAACAGAACCAGGCGTCTTCCACAGTGCGGTGCAAGCAGAGTCAGGGGCAGCACTTTCAGTAAGAATCACCATAGGCTTTGTACTTAGAACAACTTTATGTACAGGTCATTTGTGGCCACGCCAGGTTTCTCTGGCACCGTGCTGTCAGTGTTGAGAGCTGGATCTCTGCCACCTTAAATAGTGGGCAGTGCCAAGAAGCCTAAATCATTATGTTGTAAGCTAATTTCTCTTGATGATTCTTCTTTAAAATGGTCTACATTATGGCCAGGCATGGTGGCGCACACCTGTAATCCCAGCACTCAGGAGGTTGAGGCTGGAGGATGGCTGCAAGTTGGAGGCCAGCCTGGACTACATAGTAGCAAGACCCTGTCGCAAAAAACAAACACAAACACACAAAAAAACTGGAAATAAAATTGTCCACGTTAGCATAGCTTTTAAGAGTTATAAAATTACCATTTACTTAATAAATTTCAGATTTTTAAAAGGAAGGCTTCAGAGGGAGAATTTTGACTATCATCTCAGGCTTTTTGGCTTTTTGCAGCTGGAACACTAAAGCTACCATCTTCCTTTCCCTCCCTCTCATGAATTCACACCAGTTATTTTAAAAGAAGTCCTTTGGAGCTAGGGGTATGTAGGTCAGTGGCAGGCCACATGCTTCCTGGATTTAATCCCCAGCACACAAAAAAATAAACCCTGTTTTATGAAACCGAGCTCCATAAATTTGCCCACAATGTCACTGAGCCATTTGCCAGGGGAGGAGGAGGAGGCAGGAGACAGAACTCAGGGCCTGAGATGTGCTCGGCAAGCGCTGTGCCACTGAGCTGCTCCCCAGCCCCAGCTGCACTTTCAGGCCGTTAATTTCCTTCCTCCGACCCAGAAGAGGTTGCTTATTGAGCCCCTCACATTGCATGTCTCTGAATCACGTGCCCACACTTCCAGTGTGTGAGAATAAAAGGCACTAGGTGTACATCATCGTGTGCCACAGTGGGGACGCACTTCGTGCAGCAGGTGCTTCAGCCCTGGCCTCTGGGGAGAGCAGTGGCTTTTCCGAGGAAAGCGTGTGGCACCTCGTATGCAGATCTCTATCGAGCTTGCCACAGTATTTCATTTTTCCTTATTTTTAACAAGCCAATTTACAGTATTAAACCTAAGACCACTGTGTCTGGCACAGGAGTATGATACAGGAAATGTGCTACTTTATTGTTTAAGTAGAAACAACAAAGGTTCTGAGTACAAGAATTAAACAAAACCTAGACTACAACTTATGACTTATTTCAGCAGATAGGATTTAGACTTCTAAGTATATGGTAACTGATTATCTTAATGCCTTAATTGGTAACTCTTTCAGGCTATGATTATAAAATAGCCCATTCAGTCAGTATTTTGGAGTCTATGAAGTGTGTTATTGTATATATTACGGGAGTCTATGAAGTGTGTTATTGTATATATTTAAGAAACAGATATGATTTTATAGCTTGATATTTTTATTAATCCTGTTGTCTTGCCTGACAGAACATTTTATTTAATTATATTTAGTAAAATCTAACAGTTAAAATTTAAGAACCTTTCCTCTTGGCTCTCATAAAACATTAAGTATCACTTTTATTTAATCATAATCCTTGTCATGCTGTATTGCCATAATTAAAAATTATTACAGCATTATAGAAAGAATGTAATGTACCCCAGGTAATTTTTTCCTTTAGGCTAATTAAAAAGTGAAAAGCTGCTTTGATTCTAGTAAGCAATAAACCTCTTGAATAATACTTAAATGTAGACCTCAGCCTTTGATTCTTATTCTCTTCTAGGTAACAATATCCATTTTATACACCGCGACAGGAATAGGTTGGATCACAAACCCATAAACTCTGTGTTACAGCTTGTCGGAGTTCCCCACGTGAACTTCACAAGCGGACCTGCAGTTATCCATGTATGACGGAGTACAGACTCTGTCCCTCTCAGATGGGCCCCTAACAACATGACCTGCGTGCCAGGGCAGGAAGTGTATGGGGTGTGACCCACCGGCTCTGCCCAGCCTGGAAGAAGAGGTCTGAAAACACAGAGGTTGGGTGCCGGTTGAATTGCAGCTGAGAGGCACAGTTATCCAAAATGGCGATGATACATATTTAAAATTTTATCGCTTTTACACTTTGATACAAGATTACTAAATATAAACACGAAAATGTTAAAGGTCATCAAATTATGATTAAAATATACAAACAGAAGGCAGATACGGTGATGCATGCCTGTAGTCCCAGCTACTTGGAAGGCTGATTTGGGAAAATCTCATGAGCCCAGGAGTTTGAGGCCAGCCTGGGTAACAGTGAGGTCCCATTTCAGAAATACATATATTTATGAAATATATAAAGAAAAAAGAAAGAACTGAACACTACTCAGTGCAGTTAAAAAAGTATCTCAGGTGAGCGTGGTGATGCACACCTGTATCTGAGCACTTGAGGTGCTGAGACAGGAGGATTGCAACAAGTTCAAGCCCAGCCTGCACTACCAAGTCAGACCTTGTCTCAAAACAGTTATCTCAAATTCTGTAATCAATATAACCATCTTTATACCATATGTATAAGAGACAGGAAATAAACACTAGAATATGGCCAGTAGGTTTACATGTCTATACAAAAAGATGACAGGTGGTTTTGTTTGCTAAACTTTTCTGTATTTCCTATTGTTGTCTAACAAGTGTGACTTCTTATTTTTGGCCAGGAAAGATTTTTAAACATTCTAGGACAAGCACCTGCCCACTTTAGACTTCTACAGAGGTGCAGATTTTGTAGAACTACACGTTTCCATCCTAATACAGCCAAAAAACCGAAGTACCTGGTCACTGCATGCCCGCTACACATTCTACTAAGTGTTTTTGGTAGGGAGGAAGGAAGAGAAATATTTGCTTTAGGGTTTGTCTTTAATGCAGTGCTGGAGATTTGAACTCGGGACCTCACACATACTAGACAAGCACTCTACCACTGAGATTCACCCCTCTCAGCTCCTGCTGTAGATTTTTAAAATGTGTTCAGTGTGGTGGTATGTGCCTGTAATCCCAGCACTTTGGGAGGCTGAGGCAGAAGGAATACAAATTTAAGCCCAAGCTGGGCAAGTTAGCCACTTAGCCACTGTCTCAAAATTTGGCCATTGTCTTAAAATTTAAAAATGGCCAGGGTTAGGGGCTGGGGATTTAGCTCAGCGGCAAAAGCGCCTGCCTGGCAAGCGCAACGTCGTGAGTTCGGTTCCCGGTACCGGAGAAAAACCAAAAAAAAAAAAAAAAAAAAATGGCCAGGGTTATGTAGCTCAGTGCAGAGGCCCTGGGTTCAGTCAGTACCACAAAAACAAGTTGTTTTTAAAAAAAAAAAAGTATTTGAAATCTAGCCAGGTCTGGAACATCCCTAGCACTACATTTAAAAAAAGAAAAAATTATATGGCCAGGATGTGCAGCTCAGTTCAGCACAAGGCCCTAGGTTCAGTTCCTGGTACCAGAAAAGGAAAGAAAAAAAACCTGTCATCATTGTGCTTTTAGAAAGGAAATTTTAAGAATTGTTTTAATTTGAAGACTTTAAAACTTAAATGTATACTGTTCCTAGACAACTCATTTCTCACCCCATTACTGTTATCTAGATGCCTGTTCTCATCTTTTATTTTCCACAGTCTTAATGTTTGTTGGGAAGTGTCTCAAAAATTCTGATAAAAAGTACAGCAAAACTAAAATTGCTAATTATTAGCAAGTATAATACTGCTTTGAACATATATACTTTCGTATAAAGCATACGAAGTCACAGAAATATGTATTTAATGTAGCCCAATACTTTAATGTATTTTCACACCTGTACACATGAACAGTCCTGTTTTTAATCAATAAACTTTCTCATAAATCTTAAACTATTTTATGCAATTTTTCAATAATAAAGAGTGGTGATGGAGATCCCTTTGCTGAATTTAGACTTAAAACTGCTGAATCATAATCATACTAAATCATAATCATACTAAAATATATACATAATTATACATAATCATACTAAAATATATACATATATAGATCTGTATTTTTCTAATATATTCATTTGTTTTGGTTTTGAGACAGTGTCCTTCTGTAGCCCAGGCTGGCCTCAAACTCGCAACGATCCCCCTATCCCAGCCTCCCCAGCACTGGGATTACAGGTATGCACCATCACGCCCAGTTTAAAATAAATGTGTGGCTTCAGGACGGTTCAGTTACATACCTACAGTATGGTGCCAAATTCCCTACCCAAACAAATGTATTTAATGTAAAATTATCAGTCGGGTGTGAGGGCATGTGCTTGTATTGCCAGCTACTCGGGAGGCTGACCGGGAAGGGTCACCCAGCCCAGGAGTTCAAGACCAGTCTGTATGTGCTAGATAAAAGAGTAACATCATCTGAGCCAGGCATGGTGGCATACGTCTACAATCCCAGCACGTGGGAGGCTGAGGCAGGGAGATTGTCGCAAGTTCAAGGCAAACCTGAACTGTACCGCGAGACCTAGTCTCAAAAATCAAACAACCCAAAGAATAAGATCACCTGATGTTTTGTGGTAGTAATTGTTGGCCAGGCACTATCCAAGAGCTTTTCATACATTAACTGTAAAATGCAACTGTCATCATCACCGTGCTTCACAGAAAAGACATACCTTTTTGGAAGCTGACCTTAGGGAAAAACGAGACAATTACACTGGAGTCAAAACGTAGATGCCACTTTTGAAGCTGGCTAACCTGAGGAGCAGCAGTTCATCCCAAGA